TACTTAGACGTCTAACTAGAGCTCGTGAAGAGCAGACTCGAGAAAACCAGGCTGGTTTTCGACCTGGACGTGGTTGTATAGACCACATCTTCACACTACGACAGGTCCTGGAACACAGACACACATTTAGTCGTGCGACAATAGTCGTGTTCTTGGACCTTAAGGCGGCATTCGACTCAGTGGATCGTGAGGTTCTGTGGCAGTGTCTGTCATTGAAAGGTGTACCAAAGAAGTACATTAACCTTATACAAGCTATCTACTCGAACACCACTGGTCGGGTGAGAGCATATGGCGAACTGTCATCTGAATTCTCTACATCAAGTGGTGTCCGTCAGGCATGTCCACTCTCTCCATTCTTGTTTAACTTTGTCGTAGACATCCTCTTAGAGTTAACATTAAGCTCGTCAGATTTTTCAGGGGTTGACCTTTTACCAGGAAAGTTGCTTACTGATCTAGAATATGCCGATGACATAGTTCTATTCGGTGAAGACGCTGACAAAATGCAGAGTCTTCTGACTACCATAAGCAACAATGCGAGCATGTTCGGGATGCGGTTTTCCCCCTCGAAATGCAAAATGTTACTTCGAGACTGCGTTGCATCGGCACCTGAACTAGTGATAGGGACTGAAGTAGTCGAGCGTGTTGATAACTTCACTTATCTTGGGAGTCTCATCAGTGCTGACGGTCTGGTGACTGACGAAATCTCAGCTCGGATACAGAAAGCTCGATTGGCCTTTGCCAACCTGCGTCACTTATGGCGTAGGCGTGATATCCGTTCGCTAACCAAAGGGCGGGTGAACTGCGCAGCAGTTCGTTCCGTTCTATTATATGGCTGTGAAACATGGCCGTTAAGAGTAGAAGATGTTCGTAGGTTACTAGTATTCGATCATAGATGTTTAAGAAGCATTGCTCGTATATCGTGGGACAGCCGAGTAAGCAATGCTGTCGTTAGGAAACGAGTACTAGGTAAGAATGGCAGATCAATAGATGAAGTACTGAAACTTCATCAGTTGAGGTGGTTGGGACATGTGTTGCCTATGCCTAACCACCGACTGCCTCGACGAGCTTTGTTTTGTAGTGTAGGAGTAGGTTGGAAGAAAGTTAGGGGCGGCCAGACCAAAACATGGCAGAAATCCATGAAGTCACTGACAAGTGGACTGAGTCATGTTGGTAGATGTAGACTACCTGGTTGGGGTCCGCGAGACGAAAGTCACCAATGGTTAGAGACCTTGAACGACATGGCTCAAAATCGTTTGCAATGGCGCAGGTGCATCCACTCTTTGAGCTCTCTCAAATCCTAATCTTCTGGAACCGTCAGCGCCTCTACCTTTGTCTTTCTAACCTTATCTCACTGAATTATATTTTTTGAATAATATCTTCAAACCCTAGTCTTCTTTATTAACATTAACACCTCTACTATCTTTATCACTATGGGATTTGATTTGACATTTGCGTTTCTGTGCTAATAATGTGGTATGGCAACATGAACTTATGTACATACGTACGAAGTTCTACGTTGCAACTGATTGATTGATTGATTGATTGTTTTATCTTTAAAAATTTCCCCACTTTCAGGTTTTTAGTGAGATTTAGAAGCACATTTCAATTATTGTTCATGTGTAGTAGGACTAATTGATTAAAGAGTCACGATTAGAAAAATTGATGTACATTAACATATTTTCTTTTTTAAGACTAAGTTTAATTATATGTCAGTAGATCAGTTAATTTGTTGTTACTGTGCAGTTGTAAAGTGCTCTACAAGTCCTACCTACATTAAAATAAATTAAATTAGTGAACATATTTCATAACTTTCTAGACAAATTTTGAATAACACTAGTGATTAAAATGTGATACAAATTAATAATATATATAATAATTGATACGTATATAATATAGTTTATACAATAGCAAGTAGAGATTTAAATCGTATAATATGATAAGTGAATGCCACAGAGAAAATCATATGACTAGTAATAAACGTACCGGATTGAACAAAAACGTACGAAATAATGCCCCACCAAAAATATACTCATTTAGTTGTTTCATTCCGCCTGGGATATCCTCGGGATGAAGCGTATGAGCATAAATTCCACAGGTTTGACGAGGAAGTACCTACAATGATGCAATGAATTATTGGTTTAACAAATTCTCGTAAAACTTTTTGTTATGTACTTATCAAATTCAGAGTCATTATCTTAGCCAACTGTGACTTGAACAAATAGGATTCCAAGAGATCCACACCTAAAAAAATGATTGGATATGAACACATTGTTAAACGTTTAAACTGACATAAACATCATAGTATTATCCAATATTTAAGTAACTGGTTATCGTTTGTGGAATAGTTCTCAGTGAGTTACATATTGGTCTTCAGTTGTGTATTTTATAAGATCTTTATGCCACTTACAAAGTACAATGAACCAATTAAAGTAGCTGCAAAACTCGAATATTCAAATCCAATGGATAGATATATCCATTCAGTTGTTACAGAAGGCAACTGAAGTGATCATTTTGCTGTATATATTTAAGTACACCTCACCAGTGCATGAGACAGGTATAATAGTATAATCTAGATTCACGTTTAAAACTAAAGCCGAATCTAACTATGTAGACTTAAAAGTTACAACATGTTGTACAACATTATAGTCAGTCAAACTAACTGATTGTTTAAGGATTAAAACACCTGCCGTTTTTAAAGATTCATTATAGTGACCAAGTGACAGACGTGAATTAGTCTAAGAAACAAAGTGAGGTTGTTCATTCTTTTATGATAAATGTGACTGGAGACTTGACACAGGAGCTAGTATGAGTTTAAATTAATACTAATATGATATCTGTATATCCACTACTGTCAAGTGAGGAAGAATAGTATTTACCATGCATTGACTATCGTACTCTCTTACACATATAGCCTGACCAACTGGCCTTAATTCCACTGGAAACATTAGGTGTACATGTTCAAAATTAGTCGAACTCTTTAGTTATTCTTGAAGTTATAGATTGATTAATGTTCATGAAGGTTGATATGTTTGGTGTGAACTATCGATTAAACACCAATTCGTCTGAAAAGGAAGCTCTGAATTACGCTTTTTGTTTGATTGTCAGGAATATTAACTTGCTGAGAAATCGAGTTCTCCAACTAAATAAGAAATAGAAGTACCAATCAATTCACATAATCAAACAACTTAATAGGCTATATATTTAATTTCCAACTACTCTGTAATCTTATTTAGAGGGTGAACGTTTAGTACATAGAACTGGATATGGTTATTCAATAGTATAAACTTTTATCCACAGTACATATAGTAATGAATAAGAGATTTGAATGGTATAGAAGAATATTGTACAGCAATGTTTTCGCAAGAAATGTTACCTGAATATTATTGTAACGGAAACCCAAACGAAAATCAGATGGTCTGACATAAGGATAATGTATTGTAGATGTAACATTTACGTTTGAAACAGAACGCCATGCTTCATAAAGGTCAGGATATACAGGATAAACTCCAGAATGACGAGGTGCAATAGAATAACCGATTTGAACTGGAATATCATGTTCCTAAAATGAACCATTAGAATGAACTGACCTTAATTCATTAAAAATTGTGAAGCTGTAATAATTTTGTGGTAATAATAATGATAATGGTAAACTCAGTAACCGTGTGGTAAATTTATTATTGTGTGATATCAAGTAACTATTCTAAACGTGGATCAAAGGAGTAAACGAATGAACTGGTACTCTTAAACCAGTGTTAGGACTACTACAACACCGTACAAACAACATGACAACAAGATATTGTATGGTTGAAGGCATCGCAGCCTGGCATGTAATTCAAAATAGCTGAAAATCAAAAAACGACGAACGTTTGTTTAGTTCTGATTTCATCAGTAAAGATTTCTGACTCTGCGATTTCACGATGAGCACTTTGTCATTCAAAGTGTAAATAATGTTGAAAAGTACTTCACCAATATGAAATAGTTGTTTGTTGATAAACTGGCTTTCAGCGAATTCACTATGAATAGAAGTGTATGGAAAAAATTATTGGTCTTGTCATTAAAAACTGAAATGACCTGGTTGCTCACCTTTGCAAATTCTTGATTACGTTCTATTTCTTGTTGAATACATGTTTTGTTCATCATATGCGGTCTACGATGATCCCAAAAATGATTAAACCACCAAAATTTATGGCGATTTTCTGGCGAAAAAGAAAGTAATCATATTTAATGTACAGAGAAATCGTACTATTGTTAAATCACTGATCTTAAAGCTTGGTTTGTTCTAGACGCTAAATATCCACGTATTTCTCTAAAAGTAAATAAACCTCGAGGGACAAAAGATCCTAACAACAACATGGAAGAAGAAAACGCAAAAGTAGTGGATTATTAGTCAAAATCCTGGAAAAAAAAGTTTTCGAAATTTCTGAAAAGATGAATTTAAGTATTAGTCGGTGAATATTACTAAAACAAACTAGAAACTACCAAGATGAAAGAACTGTAAACATTCTTTTTTTAAAAGGCGGTTGCTTACATCATGGATCAACTTCATTTAGACTATTAAAAACCGGAGAGCAGCTTCATTCTTATTGGAAAGACTAGTGAGACAGTAAACACAAACTAAACTTGAAAGTAAAATCCTCATAGAAATCTACAATATAATAACTTCATTAATGTGGCAAATGTTTTGGTGTTTTACTGTACCAAAGTTTCAAACTGTTACATGTGAGTATACTATTAAGACTTAAAATACAGAAACTATTTAGACAACCACATCACAATCCTTCAGGGCTTTCATAGTGTCAAAAAATAATGTGTTTCGTGGCAGAAAGAGAGGCTGGAACTCAGTAACCTTCATCGAAAGACACTGAAGATCATCACTGAGTATCTCACACTTCACATTCTCAATTAGTAGTCGTTGGAAACGGAGTTAAATGTGTGAGCTCGTCTGTAGAGTGATAAACAAGAAAATACTTTAGATTTTAAATCATAATCATGCGTCATCAATCGCCTACAGACTAAGTGAAGTATGTAACTTGGTTAATAAGGAGAAAATTGACTACTTGAATGGTTTGACAGAAAATACGCAGGCGACCTAAGAAATCTGTTTCAAATCTGAAAGTACGCGTTTCATAAAAGTTTCATAAAAACTACTGAACAAACGTAATATCTTTTTTCTAAATTATACAAGTAATCGAATTCGCCCTTAAAAGATAACCAAACATGTCCGGGAAATGTCAATCATTAAGAGAGAAGCATACAAAAACTATCTTTCAAATATAAAAAAGGAAAAGCCCTAACGAACTGAGTGGGTTAGTCTATATTATGTAAGTGTAAGGATACACGACTGAATAAATCAATTGATTTGATTTGAATGAATGAACATACGTAAAATGTAATTGTAGACAATTTTGTCCGACCAACGAGATTTACTGAAAAATGCACCACAAAATCCCATATTGAATGTGAATTGTGGTATAAAAGTGCGCCAGTAATTTTGTACTTCGATCATAGCCTTTTAAAACATAAACATACAAATAATTGGTCGCAAATATATCAGAAAATAGTACATCAATTTACCTAGATAGATTATTCGGATACATAGCATCCTATAAGATAAGTAATAAGGTAGCGTTCAGAAAAACCTAAATTAAAAATTACTGTAGGAGAAAGTAAACATGAATGATGTTCGAAATTGAATTGATGGCCTCCAGATAACTAAGTCAGTGATCCAATACAGTACGCAGTGACTTGATTGATTACAGTGCGAATGATACATAAAATCAATTTCTTCCAATCGTTTGCGACATGCATTTACATCTTAAGGAATAATTTCAAAACCTGTCAATCAGTTATATATGTTAATTATATAGGTTTACCTGTATGATATTGTACATGTGGTTACACAGGAGGTCACTGAATGAAACAAAAGTTACTACTCGAGAAGTGTTGTATCTCCATTAAAACTAAACGTTTTCTAATAGCTATGTGGCTTTAAGTGGTACTAAGCAAACGGATACATAATTTAGTGATGGCTTTTATTTCCTGGTCAATTCAGTTAATGAGTTGATATTGCAGATTTTAACACACATTAGATCATTATTTACTACTAGTTCAATTCATCCAAATTTATGACAGATCAAAACATTTGAAATGTGTGGGTGAAGCTAGATTAGCAGTCAGTGAATAAATCAATTTGTTTCGACATTCTTGTTTTCATCTTGTTTTTATCAGCCTGCGCATAAGCTGACTTCGTTCTTCATCATGTTCAGAGCGAGGTGGGATGGGTTTTTGAGCATCCATCAGTTTGGTAGATGCTACTGAGATCCACGGCTTCATTACAGCCTTATGGTTAACATTACTAGCGGATATCACTGCTGTTTCCACAGCCTTTTTGATATCATTCCAAGCTGCCTCCAGATGGAAATCACTTAAATTTCCGCCTGTCTTTTTAGTTATTCCTGAAACATATTCTCCGCCTTATTATCATTAAGCAAAACCCGAAGAGGCATTCTTACGGTGTCTTTCCTACGTCCAGTAAGCCTCAAAACAAATACGAGCTCGCACTAGGGCATGATCTGAATCTAAACATGTGCCCCAAAACGAGCGACAGTTTTCTATCGAACCCCTCCATCGGTGGCTGATGGCGATGTGATCTAGTTGTGTCCAACTTTGAGACGACTTTGGCGGTCACCAGGTCAGATGTTTTTCCTTATGCTTAAAATTAGTGTTTGCTAGAAATAGGCGGCTATCTGAGCATAGTTGAAACAGACGGTCGCCATTGTCTGTTCTCTGAGCCGCGACACCATAACAACCACCTAGGTGTCTTTGCTGCTCACTTAGTCTACCTACTTGAGAATCAAAGTCACCAGCCATTATTACAATATCAGAGCACCTAACTTGTTGGAGGAGGTCAGAAAACATTCTGTAGAACTCATCTCTCGCCTCGTCTGAACTGCAGTCAGTGGGGGCATAGGCAGATACGACGAAGAGGCAACGGTGAGTGTCCCTATCTTTACGAGTCCTTACTGTCCCGTTCAGTCGGACAGCGCACAAACGACTATCTACTGGGATCCAGTCTAGGAGAGCTAGTTCTGTCCTAAGACTCAATGCTACACCTACACCAGCGAGACCCGGGAAGCAGCATCAGGACTACCGGATACACGGAGGGTAAATCGAGCTTCTTGTTTATTTTGACAAGGTGAAATCAGATTAGTGATTTTACTAGGAGCTTGCATGCACGTTACCGAGACGCAGCATACATCGATAGCGCAAGATTCTTATGTCATAGCTAAGGAAGCCTGTTGCCCTATTTTACGCAATGTCCGTACATTAAATGCTCCAACATGTAGTCTAGAACGGGGTTTCAGGAAACCATAAATAACGTTTCGAGAACTCGCATCGTTTGCATTAGCGGTGTAGTGAAATAAAGGAATGTGAGTAGAGGTAGTCGTGGAGATAGGAAGGATTTGATTTTGACCGCGTGCTGTTATGTGTATGAGGGTGGTTGTCAATTCCCGGTTGCCCACACCGTGGAAGGTTGTTTCTTGAGGGACCTGAAAATGAAGGTAGATTAGTGTCAGTCTTAGAGACCTGGTTGCATGATCGAAGAGCCCAAGGGACAACTGCTTGAGGCCGGTCACGCACGGCCTTTTTATGAAAGGATTTCTGAGTATTAGCTCCGCTTTTAAAAGCTCTTAGTGGGCACCCTTACCCAAGGAGACGGAAATCCGTGAGGTAGGGTGAGGTGTGACAATTTCAGGGTCGACCTCTCCTAACCCTTTCTTCCTTGTGAGAAGGCAGCATAGCTGCAGATGCTGGTTTTCCGAGGGAAAAACCTTACTGCTGTCACACCTCTCTGCAGCTAGCAGTACGACTTCACACTCAGACCTTGGGTAGCTGTGTTTAGTCTCATCGTTCCCCAATCGACCTGGTTGGCATGGTAGAACCTTCAGGAACATATGTTCCAACCAGTATAGCTCGGTTGGGTCATCACGATAGGCAAGCCCGATCGCCACGTCAAGGTAGAAGCTTCGGTCGGGGGTTACTTTTGGGATTGCTAACATATAAGGCAAAAGAAAAAAATCATTATAAACAGTAAACGGTTCGATTTTTCCCCAGAAAAATAACTTACATTTATATCATCAATGGAGAGATGCACATTTCGGTTCGGAACAAATACATCGTCAACATCAACTAGGACCCATCTTAGTAAATCAAGTTCATTTGGAGCTTAGATAAAAATAGAAGTTAAAAACAACTATACAGAAATAAGATTAAAAGGAACAAACACAAATTTTAGTTATAAAATAAAGAGGAAAATATAATACCATTGAATAGTTAGCACATTAATGGATGTCTTTAGTATGTAATTAAATATTTATTGTTAGGTTATGATGTGAACTGTAAATATAATATGGAAAAACAGACGCATTTAAAATGAATATAACTACATTAGTTCGTAGAACAAAACACGACGAGAAAAATTTAAACAGAAAATGTAAGGCAGGTAAGGGCTTTTGAAAAAAACCTACTTTAATCGTGAATAAGTTACCGGTAATGTTATTTGTGAAATTCTTCATTCGATCAATTCTTAAAGAATTCGAAGACAAATAAATAATACAAGTTTAAAAACGTGATCTTTACATTTTTTCTGCTATAACATCATTTAAGCATCCAGTAAATTAATATTTGCTTTCCCTGGAAATTATCTTGAATAATCACAGCCCCAAGATTATCAATGAAAAAATAAAATTACTTCAAAGGAACTGAAAAATTTTATATTTTGTCACAAAAAGATATAAAGTTTACGCAGTAATATAATGGCCTTATCCGAGTTTACACCACTTCGAATAAAATACTTATTTGAAATAAAGGCTTAACGAAAAGTGAATTTAAAAAAATATAGATTTTGTTCCATAACTTTAGTATTCATTGATGGGTTGGTTGAAGTAGAGGGATAAGAGAAATACCTTGGTACAGGAAATAGTGATTGGCTTTTTTCACAGTCTTCTGTTGTGGACAACACGTTGATCTTACACTATGTGGAATTCGTTATTCGCAAGTTGATAAGTTTGCAGTAAACAAGAATAATTTGTTATTAAAACAATTTAACAATGCGAAGTAAGATTGAAATTCTTACTCTACCTGTTTATCATGAAATCTATAGGTTTATGATGTGTCGGTTATTAAATAAGCTAAGATGTTTCTGGATTTCATGCTAAGCTACGAAGCTTCACTGTTGAAGGCCGTTTTAATCACCGACTGTAACCGTAAATCAAGAAAACTGGGAAAATTTTATGCCATGAATATACACAAAATTACTGAAGCCCTTGCATCCATAGAAAATTACAACAGTGTCTATCAGACTCCAAGTCCGACGTAGGTGATTCATGTCCTCGGACATTAAATAATAAATACAGTGAAGAGTTAGGATATCACAATACTAAAGATATTCTAACGTAATTCTCGAGACTGTAAGGGATCAGTTCACATAATTAAGACCTATGGACGTTCACTACTTCGATTTTTACGTATTTTCATTGGAAACACAACATCAAAAACATGAATTCGCTTATGATAGTTCAGAGATATTCTTTGTACTCTAAAAACCTGTGACAAATTTACTGTTGGAAAATGGTCCGTCACTGTTACATGTTAGCATGGCGGTGTTTTGAATACCTTTAGAGAGTTTGATTTATATACTAAGCTTACAACACAAGAAAACAGAACATAGGAATCACCGAGAGCACAAAGATTAACTATTGATGAAAGTATTGTCAAATAAATATACTTCATTGGCCTACATCAATCCAAGTGTACGAAGAACTAAGAGATAAGGCAAAATAATCACTTTGCTAGTTTTCAGATACACAGCATGAACAACGACAAAAACTTGCGTTGTATTATACACCAAAACAATTACTACGCGTTATACTGTTTGAATCTAGAATATAGTGAATCTCTAAAGAGAGTAGAAGACGGAACAATAATTGTAAATCGTTGTATGAAACAATATCATATATCAAAATAAAAATCCACAAAAGTACAATATACAGAACTAGGGTTTTGTTTGATCAACAAGGAAATATTAAAAACAATATATGTCAGACATACGTGATGATGTATTCATCTTCGAAACAATGTCACTAAACTGTGAACTGAAAGGATAAGATGATGGTGGAGAAGCGTGAAAAATACCCTTCGATAGGTAGACAATAGCATCAAGTAGCAATATTGATGATATCCATATCCCTTCAGGACGGAAAGCAAAAAGAACACGTTGAATCCCATCAAATGAGCCAAGATCTTCCAAAACTAGACTTTGGTAAACGGAAAATGTATCGCTGTCAGACTCTGTTGAGTAATTCTTTAAAGTAATGACACAAAAAGTTCCGGTAAGATTCCGTTTAAAGATATAAAGTGCATATTGAAGTTTTCAACAATATATGTTAAAGACATTTGTGAGATTGTAGAGGTTGTTTCCACTATATGTTTTGACTCCAATATATCGCCCCATCAACGGTAGACTTTAGACGGTTAATTCTCCTAGCATCACTATGAATTTACTCGAGAAAAAACAGAACATCAGTTACTAAGGTTAGTGCGTATTGCTAACGATTAATGGAATCCACAAGCCACACGAGATTCCTGCACGCCAGAGAGTAAGCTGATGAATAATAAGGAGCACATCTGTGCGTGCTAATCAATATGTGGTTAAAGTTAGTGACTGTCCATATTTGCAACAAATTAGAGAATAGGTAAAGAATTGAGGTGCAGATATGCGCCCAATCATATTGACAAAAATGCATACATAATGCGTCAAAGAAAAGTATGACAGGTTT